CATAGAGTGTCACAGCATTATTTCATGCACCAGATTGGTGCACTTCCAAATTCCGCTCTGTGATCACACAAATTGCTAGATTACTGGGAAGGCCACCTGGTTTTCCCAGAATTCCAAAGCTTGATCACTCTGTTATTGGCTGGAAGTAAACCACATCATCTTCAAGGCAAGTAGTTCTCTGCCCCCTTGCCTTCTTAAATTTCTTATGCATGGACCAGATGGCAAACCTCACTGCCAGCATTAAAGAGGTTCCCAGATGTGAATATGGGTCATAGGAATCAGACAGCCTTTGTGACTACATATATCACAAAGGCGGTCTGATCCCTACGACCCATGTTCCCATCTAGGAACCTCTTTAATGCTGACAGTGCCTGGGCTAGACAGACCCTTGTTGGGATGATGGACTTTGAGTGTGTATCTTCTACATAACACCTTGGCTGGCTTTTTGTGGCAACACAAAAGTTCTTCCAAATGCATTGTGCACTGGTCTTTGAACTACTATGACAGGGGCAAAAACAGATGCTCACATAGGGGTGAGCATAGAAATTTTTGTGTTTTTTTCCAACATTTGTTCAAATTTACCACCAAATTCTTTCCCTTTTCATTCCTATTGCTTCCTGCTTGTCAGCTGATTACATGATCAATAGGAACTGAGAAGAAGAACCAAGCCTTCCTCAGGCTTCTTTGCTAAGGAACAAAGCCTGAGGAAGGGCCATTTTATCTGCTCAGCTGATCCTGAGCAGCATCCCCCTATTGAGTAGGCTCCAAGGGATGCCACTAAGAATTTGCTTAGAGGCTGATATGAACTAAATTCCTCAGCTGATCCTGTGCAGCATCCTTTGGATGGATCACGGAGGGTCAGCCCTGCCTCAGGCTCCTCAGCTCTGGAATAAAGCCCAAGGTTGATCTGCTCAGTTCGTCCCAGCTGCTCAGCTAATCCTCAGTTGCATCTTGGGGATAAAAAGGATTCAAAATATGTCACTGGTGCTTAACTGAGAGGCTGCTCAGTCTGTCTCAGACCCTCAGCTAATCCTCAGTGGAATCCCATGGATCATATTGGTCCAGAGTATGTCACTCAGAGTTAGCCAAGCAGATGAGCCAGACCTTCCTCAGGCTTCTTTTCTGAGGAATGAAGCCTGAGGAAGACCTGATTTATCTGCCAAGTTACTTTTGGTTGTGTGATCAACAGCTTGATCCAGGGGACGCCACTTAGGGTTAACTGAGTGGCTGAGATCAACTGAGCAGATGGGCTGACTCTTTTGTCAGGCTTCATTCCTTAGCAGGAAAGGCTGGCCCATACATGATGCAGCCAATGGATGCTACTGAGTATTAGCTGAGCAGCTGAGATGGAACAACCCCTGTGCAGGCTTCTTCACTAAGAAATAAATCCTGAGGAAGGTATAGTTCATCTGCTCATTTTCATTTTGGATAAATTTCTGAGTATTCAATGACTCATGAGCTGATCCTGAGTACTCATCCAAGATGGAAATGAGTCTCCTCCAGAAATGTGCACTGCCAACATAGATGCCCTGGGTCAAGTTATCCGAGGCATCATTGAAGGCAAATCCTCAGAGGCAAATCCTTGGACAGACCTTGTCCAAGTTTTCCATCCGAGGTATTCTTTTGCGCTGAGAATTGCCTTGGATCAAAACCTCAGGAAGCTGAGGTCCAAGGATACCTTGGATTGAAAAATCCGAGGTTATGTTGGCAGTGGTGAAGCTCAATATGAGCAAAACAGGCTGATCACCTGAACATGACCAAAGTTTCCGACTTCAAGAATCTGAAAGAAAAAGAACCTTTTTTGGAGAATTCAGGAAAGTGAGCTATTCTCACCCCTATTGTGAGCGTCTATTTTGGCCCCTGTGTATAAAGAGCTCCATCAATCCCTACAATTTGCCACTCATCCTCTCATCATCATCACTAGTTTCATTTAAGTTTTCTGCCTTTGTACCAATACCATTTGCATTGCAAATATCTTGAATACAAATCTTCAGCTTTCTTTCTTCATACGTCTTTGTCCACAAACTTTCACAAAGAATTACAAGATGAGCTTCACTTTGATCAGCCTTGTGGTCTTGCTAAGCACCTCAGCATATCATGGGTCAAGCATTGGACCACAATCTTGTGTGGTCAGTAAATACCCACTGCCAGCATAGATGCCTTGGGTTGAGAAATCCGAGGCATCATCGGAGGCAAATCCTCGGACAGACCTTGTCCAAGGTTTTTGCCCGAGGTATTTTTTTGCCCGGAGAATTACCTCGGATCAAAACCTCGGGAAGCTTCTGTCCAAGGTTTTGCATCCAAGGATACCTCGTATTTTGTAATCCGAGGTAAATATGTTGGTGGTGACCTGTGTAAAAGTTTGTGAAGTCATGCATTTCCAAAGTATGCTATGTAGATTGTATTAATTCAAGTGTCAAAGTGCAGTTTATGGATTGGGACATTTGACCAAACCAAATGGTTCCATATCCAATTGACCCATGAGGATAGCACAGATCTATGAACTGATAGGATGTTTTTTGATGTGAGATCAAATGAATTGGTCAAAAGTTGAATCAGGTGAACTGGTCTTATTAATGATGGGTCCCACTAGTTAGAGCCCTTGGAGCAGTATCTGGTTGGACACCACTCCAGGCTACAAAAAAATCAGCAGCCCCTTCTTTAAAAAGGGGCTCCTTGTAAAAAAAATGGGGCTTCCTCCTTATTACAAAATTGACCACTGCTTATCCTCCATTGATCTCACCATTTTGTTTTGTACATGTTACATATGTTGTACAGTAGAGTATAAGGATGAAAGTAAGAAACTAGTTCAAAGTGAAAGCAAAGTTTCTCAGTTTACTATATCATCCAACAAGCCACTATTGAGCACGAGTACACAAGTTGGTAGGCATGACATAAACATGTCTCAAATTAAAGGACCACATACATGGGCATAGGGGGTTCATACAACATGAGGGAGAATTGAGGGAGACTATTGACTCTGAGACCACAAATTCAATTGCACTTGATATTTGCACTTAGGCTTCAGTCAAGAGGATTGGGTTATACCATATCAATCCAGAAAGAATTCTAAATGGGATTCAGTGTGTTTGTGAGGATGAATATCTTTAATGTGAATCAAAAGTACATAAGTGTTGGTCAAATTATTGACCGTACCAGATAAGGCTACACTAACCAATTCACAATCATCAAGAATCTTTCCAGTTGTGATCAAACAGATTCCTTTGAGTCTTGATTTACCAGGCCAGTTGTGAGAAATATGAGTTTTAAGTCGAGGTACTTCATTCTTCAAGGGGTGAATTTTGATAGTGTGATCTTTATGAAAAAGGCAAATCAAATCCATAGCAGTAAGTTTCAGTAATACCAAGAGCAACAAGTTGGTTTAAGAGATAAGAATGAGCAAATAATTAAATAAGCAAGAGGACTGATTGCTGGGCTTGAAGTTTGCATTGAGAATTGGAACCTTTGGGGAGGTGATGAGACAAACTAAGACCATAGGTCATAAAGCAAGATAAGCCCAGCAAGTGAATAGATACCTACGTATATGTATGCTCCCCTTCCTTGAGGGGCCAATGTCTGTGCAGTCACGGGGCCGGTCCGGGCGCAAAAGAACCCAGGTGCCCTTTTGTTTGTTTCAAAACATGTTTCTTGCCCATCAAGGATGGAAGGGCACCAAACAGGTCAAATTAAGGGCTCAATTGCAAGGTTGTGCCCTCTTAAAGGAGCCCTCAAGGTCCAACTCTGCCAAATTTTGGCTGATAACGCTTGGGTATCAACAGGCCACACAGGTATTGATCAAAACCCAAGGGGCGCCAGATATCTCTCAAGGGGGCTCTAAATAGTGGGATCCTTAATGACAAAAGATCAAAACAAAATTTAATGACCAGACTTGTATTTGAGAATTCCTATATACAACATGAAATTAAGGAATCTGGGGTCTCATCAGAAGAAGACCTATCAAGCCTTTTGTTTATTAGAAAGACTCAAATGAAAAGTTGATTTCTAGAACAAATGGTGACTAATAATCAAAAATTGTTTTGATAAAGAAGAAAAAGAGAAACAAAATACATAAAATATAAAAGTGAGATCTTATACTAAATGATAATAGGGGGTTTCAAGTCAATAAATTTACGGTATTTTACAGTCCAACAAGTTGTCCGATGTTGCAAAGTATACCGTAAATTTTAAAAAATCAGGACACCTTTTTAGGTGTCCCGAATGGTGTTGACCGTATATTTGCAGAAAAAAACCCACTGTAAAATTTAAAAAACTTGTCCGTTTTTTAAAAAGTTTCACAAAAAATTGGGGAAAGTTTTTTACAGTACTGTGCTGTAAAAACTTTTCCCAATTTGTAAAAAAGGGCCGTAAAAATTTCTTTTGGATCTCCTTCTGAGCAGCAGATTTACGCAAATTTGCGTAAATTTGCTGCTCAAAAAAATTTGGGAAAAGTTTTTTACCATAAAAGTAGTAAAATATTTTGACTTGAGCCCCCCTAATAATGAAATTAGGTATGTCATGATCATACCTGAAAAACCCATACCTGTAATTATCCTATGTAATCTCATCCATCACAACAACAAATTTATGTGCATAACAACCTAAAATCATGATAGCTAGACCAGGGATGTCAAATAGAAAAGAAAATGTGTAAATAATGTTGCACAACCTACAAGATGTTGACTTTTGTGTAGAAATCCTGTTCAAGCCATCTGGCATCTGAACTTCAACATATTCCTCATTTTTGTAACTCAAATTTAGAGCTCCTGGTCAATGAATGGATCTGGGAAAATATGATCATCAGTTTTCCTTTATAGAACTGCCCTAGCCAACAGAGTCAAACCTTACCCACCTACTTCATCAACTTTTTGTTGGCAATGGCTGATACATATTACATACATGCTGATACATATAGCCGGTTGTAGATAGCCGGGTATCAGGCCTCGGATAATACCCGAGAACCGTCCTCAGACCAGGTATCCGATACTCGGGTCCTATGCGGGATGCCGAGCTTTGCCGAGCTCGGCCATCAGGTTGGCATTGAGCATGAGTTGTTGAACCTTGTTGAACCAAACCATACGAAGCACACTGCCTCCGATTTCGACCAACTCACGGTTCAAAAAACGATTAGATTTCAGGAATATCAAGGTACACATTTCAAAGTGATGATCAGGCTAGGCTCCACCCAACTTTCCCGAACCCTACCCTCAATTTCCATTGGAACAGATGCGTTCAGAGTATCTCATCTCAATCAAGTGCCCAGCCTTTCTCGTTTGTTTCATGACGTCAGAACTCAGCATCAGGCCTTGACGAGTAATGGTCGCATGAGAATGATAATGTTGGGCCCCCCAGTTTAGTTTCAAGAATCCCATTAATCTTCCAACCTGTTTCTTCTACTTCAGAGCTTTCCCTACTGATGTCAGAAAGATGACATTCTTACTCCATCCAATTATCAAAAATGTACATAGGGATCGGGAAAAGGAACTCATTGCAGTAAATTGATATCAACCTTCAATCCTTCTTTGATTGGAACTGGCGATTTACTTAGGTGGAATGTAAATAATCATACCGAACTTGGTAAACTGGCGGAAAACTACATCTCACGTGGAGGTGAGTGATGCTGGATGACTCAAAAATAAGAACCGGTACTGTTCTTGGCACCTTAATACACAGCTCCATGTATTAAACCTGACGAGGAAGAATGTCTCGATACTCGATTTTGGGGAATGTTATAATTAGATTTACTACCAGATGATGTCATTCTCGAGCTAGTGAAACCGGAACTTCGTCAACTAGCTGATCGAGTCAGTCATCACTCATTGCTTTGCTATTTTCTTTTTGTTTATTTGAGTAACTGTTCTCTGGGAATACTATTACTGATCATGATTGATGTTTTGATTCTCGAAGGATTGGATCTTAGATGGGTTTCCTCGCACAAGAGCTCAAGCCATTAAGCTTGATAAATTTCTCAAGGAAGAATTGAAAGACGAACTTAATGTAATCATTGCTTTACACGTACCTGACGATATCATTCTACATAGAATATCAGGTTCGTCTTCGAACATGATCGAGTATCTGATGCAACTTAGCTCAGGAGTGTGCCGCTAAATTGTTGGCCGCCTTGATCATTCATAGGGAGATGGATCCATGGCCCATCAGGAAGGGTATACAATGTATGTTTTGATCACAACATGAGATCCGAAGACGAGTCAACGAAATTGAGCCTAGTTGAGCAACAGACTGAAAAGTGGTTGATTTCTGCTCTTCCTACCATGTCATTCTAGACAACCTATAACCCTCCGAAAGTCGAAGGATTAGACGACGTGACTGGAGACCCCCTTATCAAACGAAAAGATGATACAGTCGAAGTCTTTGCGAATCGATTAAATTCGTTCCACGAAGAGAATGAACCAATGCTCAACTATTACGAATATCAAACATTCCTCAAGTCCTCTTCTGCTTCACAGGAACCATCAACTACAGACAAGTGCAAAAAGCTTATCCATCTGTCTGGTCATACGAGCGATGATATCTGGCCTCAAATATATGAACATGTACAAGAACGTGTAAGTGCGATTTAAGTTACTTTCCCACGTCATCTGACTACCACTGTTCAAAGTTTTGAGCGGTCTAATTATGATTTCCTCGTATCCTATCTAGTTTCCTCATCTCAAACCTGAAAGCAATCCAAAGTCATGAAAACCGATTGCTTGAATATTTCCTCGACGAAGTTTGCTATCTCAGTTGTTTCCTTCTTTTCATTACTTTTGATTCTGCCCAAAAGTCCTGGCTCGGTCTTTTGGTCTTAATGCTGTACATCACATGTCACTTTACTTTCTCTACTACAATCAATGCCGTCGATCCTCGCAGCTGTTTTCTCTCTTGAGTGCATCTTATGAAAATGCAAGTCACACGCATACAGGCATGTCCCATGAGCATACGAATATTGGCGATTTTTCAAAAACCGCGATAAAGCGCTTGGTTGATAGATAACAATCATTAACAGATGAGTTCGCACACGAGTATCTTAGCAGATGAAGTCAGAGGCAGTCAAAGTATTCCCAACAATCGCACAAAATCGAGTTATCTCGAGAAGTGTTTTGACAGGTAAGGAATGACGGAGAGTGTATGCGTCGACCATGACAGAGCGACGAGGTCTCTGATGTATCAAATTGAAGCAGTGCATGTGCCACGCCTATATACTGTTATCTCCATTGGTCGTTACCTCCTGCATATTTTATTGCTATCAACCCACTGACTGAACTTCAGAGACCATCTCATTTCAATATCTCTGATTGACAAATGAAAGATGTCAAAAATACTTCCCAAGGATGCTTTTCTTTTTGTTCTTTTTCTTCATTCAGGATAGTTGAAGTGCTAAATTTGAAAGTTCAGGAAGTTTTGCTCTTTTGTAAGTAAACAGTGGCTCAACCCAAGTGTGATCAAAGAAATTAAATGATTATGAAGCTGCTTTGTTCATGCCATTCTTAGTTGTTCAGAACCTTTATGACTGGCTCAAGTTTGTTCTTTTTGAATAATGGACTATCAATGACTCGGCATTGGTCATCTGAAACTTGGAAGGAGGTTTCAACGTTTGAATGGGAAGCTATGGGAAGTCACGGCGCGCCTTGCCTGTAGGCGCTCTGGGTGCACCTCAGATTCAAAACCCGCGCCCACTACGAGAACGGAAAGGCATCTGGTACGTAACAAACAGCCGGGGGTAGGCATCAAGCCAGCTATGTTTTTGCTTCCGGTAATTCAGGTTATTGGAGTGAGTTGGTATGGGATGGTTTCTATCCAAGAATCAATCTTGGTTTTATGTTTTGTTTGCAAGGTCTCTGAAGATGGCTTCTGAAGTTTTGTCTTGATGATTTCAAAGGTTTACAACACTAAAAAATATGTGAGTATGGGTGGTCTCACTGATAAACGTGAATTACTTTTGTTACAAAACGATTGTGTAAAAGGATCCAACCAAAGGATCTGATAAAGGCCTACGAATTTAATCTCCGGGTAATAAGGCTCAGGAGGTTATAACGAATGAAATGAGTCCAGCGGCACAGATAAAGATGGATTCAATATGCAATAAAGACAGTGTTATATAAGCTTTGAAGGCTAAAGGGTAGTATCAAGTAGATAAATTGCTAAAAATGAAGAAATTTGACTAATTAGAGAATGAAAATAATCAAGAGAAGACTGGAGATAGTAAAAGATAGATAAAAATATTGTCCGAGGAAAGAAAAAGTCTCCCGAAGTTTACATGATTTATATGGAATGAGAAACAACAAGAAGGCTGAAACCACGGCAAGGACGAATACGACGCGAGCTCTTGAAAATCTAGACGAAGTTAAGATAAGGAACCGATTACAGAAAGTAATACATGGCGAATAAGTTAGTAAGCCTGGTACGATTGTAGGGTAACTTGAAAAAGGAATTTCTTAGGATAAAAATGAAGATGACCATCATCACAAGAAAAATTTGATGAAATTTAGAGGTTAAGCTGTGATGACATGTGGAATGAATATGTACAACTCCTTTGTAAAAAATGACGAGTTGGTGATTGTATTCAAGTTGAGGAAAACGTTGAGGAATTCTTTGAGGTTCAATTTGGCCATTGTGGAGCATAGAACTCTTCGTCATCGTCGTCTGAGTAGTCACCTGAGAGAGTATAGAAAGAACTATGATCGTCATCATCATAATCTGCCTCGTCAACCTCGTCAGCCTCATCATCGTGACATTGTTCTTCAATCGAAGCAAAATCGGATAAGGCTTGAAAAGAACGCGGTTGAACAGACTGCTTTATGATATGGTTGGGAGTCTCTGTGGTGCCAACAGGTTCAATTGAAGTGTGGGTCGAATTCTTCAAAAATGGAGAGTCAAAACAAATACTCAATTCGGCTCCCAAAGGCGCAAGAACTTGTGGTTTCTGACTAGCGAAATCAGCTGGTGAAGGAGGTGGGACACTTGCTTTAGAGCGTTGACGCCCGATGCGCTGTGCAGAAAGTTGAAGCTTGATGATCGAAAAACCTAACTCATCGTCGTCATCATCAATCTCTTCTGAACGAGGGGGGCTTATTGAAGAGGTTTCAGAACTTTGCGAGCTAGAATCAAGGTCTTTGCTGTAAGTGGAATTGTTGGAAGAAGACATAGATGATCGACGAGTGTTCATTTTATTGTATTGACTCCACGGTTCGCAAAGGTGTGTGTTCGGATGAGTGCCAAGTGCAGGGATAAAGGGCTGAATGTCTGAGCTTCGCCTTTCCCTGGAGCTCTTAACTCGAGACTTTAACTTGGAGAAAGATAAAGAAGCAGGGGCACTACGAATTTTGGAGACGTATGCACGAAAGTCGGGTTGATGTTTTATATCAGGTACGCTGATTTCGAAACTCTTGACAGTAGTCAATGAACGTTCAGATCTTAGATGCTGTTGAAGGGTGTGCTTTAGTACCTCAATGTCTCCCAGCATGGAAATACGACTTGGAATTTCACTTACTTCGGTTGGTTCTGCCCATCTTTGTGAAAGGTAAGGATTGACGGTAAAAATTTGAGATGATTGTACAATGGATGTGGTGCTCTTTGATTCCGATGCACTCAAAGCGGTATTTTCTGCGTACATCTAAGCCGAGGTTGATGGGTGAAAATAAAGTTGAATGATATACAAGAGGAAAGATGATTGAACTTTGGCAAAAGGGCCAAATATGAGAAGGCTAATAAATGTTCAGGATAGATAGGATACGAGCAATATACGCAAAGAGAATATATATAATCAATATATATATTCAAGAGAAGTTTTGAAATTGGCAGCTGGGCCGGTCGGAGTAATTCGATAAAATGTCTCGTTGACGGAAAGTTGACCGAGCTGGGTGAATGCAGAGATACTAGGTGATCGCAAGTACGGAGGTCTAGAAGCATGCTCTTTATATGATGAAGCATGACAAACTCCGCGTCTATAATCCGAATCAATCCAGACTTTCACGATAGCTCACGATACAATGTATGCCCGCATTAGTCAATTATTTTCCTTAATCATTGACACATTCAAAAATCTAAGCACAGCCTCGCCCGGATAATGTGAGGGAAAGTGAAATCGGACAGCGTCTGAGCAATATTAAACTTATCAGAGCTATATCGAGCTCGCTGAGCTGAGCCTTCCAGATGTGGACGGGGATTTACACGCCTCGATTGACCATGTCGTGAGAGCATTGAGGTAAGTACGTTTAGACGTATCTAGACTGTCTTTACCAGCAACACACCACCCATATGCGGACATCCAAGCTCCTTGCAATGATCGCATGGCCATGGCCTTGGCTTCTTCGGCATCAAAATTCGGTCGGTCGCCTCAGAGATGCATGAGATTCATCAAGGAAAAGCGAAAAGCGACGCACTGACTGAAGTACATACAGTCCGCTCCAAGAAATTACGCCATCGCTCAATTGCTTGAGCGGTACCGGGGCAATTCCTACAGGAAAAAATCTGGTGACTATTTGATGATACACTTCAATCTTTAAAATATGATGACTCATCCCTTGAAAAAGTTCAACAGAGGGTAAATCATAAATGCATCAAGAGGAAAGATTGTAAATGTAGGAAGAGTAGGAACACGTCTTCAATTGAAGCAATTTTAAAAACCTTTTTGGAGTGCTTATATTTTGCCTTTCTGTGATTGAGCATTTCTTTGATTTTGTCACGCCAAGATGTTACTACACGAGTTGATGACCAAGCTTAGCAATCCACACTAGATACCCCCACTTATAGTGCTTTAATATTAAGCCAGTGCACCACAGTCTTTTGGCAGACTTTCTAAAGAGAACCAATGGAGCCTACACGACATCTTCCACGGAAATATCAATTGGATTCCTTTCATACTCTCTTGATCCAGCTCAGCCAACCGCTACCTGGGCACACTTGCAGCATTTGAAATATGGGCACCTCTTTTCATGTGTCTACAATACCCCTTCATTTCAAAAACAGAGCATCCGCAGAAGCACAAGAAGAAAAGCTCTCATTATACCTGAATGTACCTTCAATCCACCAACATTGCATTGCCTTACACAAGGACCCCACAAAGCTCCAGGGGAACTATCCAGCCTAAGACCACCCCAACTGACCTTTTTAATACCCTGTGATGCGGTAAAAATCCCAATATTGAGCTTGAACAATTCTAGTTTTGTTGGTAGGTTCAAAAAGCAAAAATTTCTAAAAATTTCTCAACAGACCAATCCATTTGTTTTTTGTTGGTGTGTACATTCAAAAGAGAGTGCTTTTGGCCATTTTTTGGCCCGAGGCAAAACCATACCTATCATGTTGGTAGATCCAGATGCAAAAAAGGTAATTTTGCTCAAAAAACCCACAAGATGCCTTTTTTGTCAGTATGTCAGTGTTTTTTTGACCCTTGATCCATTCCAATTAGGCCAGATAGTTCACTTGGAGCTTTCCGGGGTCCTCTTGCCTGTATCTCTAATGACCTGTGATCAAGTCTATAGATATTGATTTGATATTGGTGGTATTGGAACTGTCCAATACTTTTCTGTATACTGCTGTGGTAAGTGATCATGGGGATTGTGAATTGTATCAAAGCCTGCTCACTGTTATAAATTCTTACATAGATTTTAAAACAACTTATGGACCATCTATATCCATACAGGCATTGTTTCAGAGTATTACGCGGTTGAAGAGGGCCTTCCCAATGACATTGTGCAAGTGACACAGCACTACTTCATAACCTACTCAAATACAATCACTCAGAATCTGATAAATATTAAAGATTTCAATGGGAATTCCACACAAAACTGATGCGCTCTATGTTTATCCATCATGCACATCATAGGTTTTCTGTGAATAATACCATGCTCTCCTATAACCAAACACATACCAACAAGACCACAACTTACGCACACAATTTCAAAAATCCCAATACAAACATGCTTCGAGTCCCAACATGTGCTCCTTAGGGCTTGATATCCACCTTTGATGTCATGTACAAGTGGCTGCAGAAAAGATATGACACCCTTGGGGCCAAACAATCATTACAATGTATCTAATGCACCCAAGTGTGAGCCAGTTTGGCCTGCAGGGTGTCATATCATTTCTGCAGGCACTTGTACAAACAAACAAGGTCTGTGTTTGAAGAGTGATGCAGGTGTACCTGACAAATAAAGATTTTATGCTGCCCTGGAACAACATCTGGAATGGACACAGCTTGGAGGTTGCCCCATTTCATCTCATATGTGCTCTGTTCACCAGGTTAACACCAATACCTGGAACCAATGATTCACATAGTAATTCACTGCCACTCTGACACACTTTAATCTTCAATCCTAACAACCAATTGTGTCACAGTTAGGTATTGGTACTGTAGTGCGTCAGAGATGCAGCTCACAGGTACCCCAACTCCACCACCAACACTACAAAAAATATAATCTTTATCAGGCGGAAAAGAAAAGTAATGATGTAGAAAAATCCTGAGACACCAGGAAGAGAGCAAAAAATCCAAAAAAATATGTATCTTGTTCCTAGATGTTGGGGCGTCATGATGAGTATTTTTTTGTATTTTACACATAGATATTGGTTAATTTACTCACAATAAAGGTTGAAAATCATCAAAAACCCACCTGTAACAATACCTGAAATTTGGCCCATGATTTTGAAGACAGGATTTTGAAATCTTCAAACATCAATAATATCTTTTTTGCTCAAAGTCTTTCCTTTCACCATTCCAAGACTTATTCATCTTGTTTCTGTATGTTGTTGTAGTCTTCATTTCTCCCCGTCTGGCTCTTCTTTCAGCTGTGTTCTGAATCAAGAGTTCTACATTGGAAGAGGGGTGTAGACATAGTCACGCTTAGTAAGTGGGGCTATGTGGTCTTCACCCATGCTTCTTGCCTAGGCTTCACGTAGCCAGCAAGACCGCAGCAGTGTAACATGATTACCAGCCAATCAGTGGGTGACCTGAGTCATGTGAGCACAACCTGCTAGCCACACATTCATCATATGTTGGATGAACCCGGACACTGTTGGATGAACCCGGGCACTGTTGGATGATGATGCTATTTGCTGAACAGCATCCAATCTGATACATAAATCCCTTCACAAATCCCAAACCAAAAGACTACCATTTTTGATTGTTATTTTGTTGTGAACCATTGATGACATGTCAGCTGTGATATCACAGTTAGATGTAGGGCTATGACCTGGCCCTGGCCCTGCCTGGCCAAGTCTGCCCAAGAGTTTTTTGGGCCAGGTCAAGGCCAAGCCCGGGGCCTTGAGTCCAGCCTGGGGATAGTGAGAAAGGCCCCCGTCCAGGGCTACTCGGAGCCGGGGCCGTTGAAAAAAAACTGTGGAGGCATTGCTGAAGGCTTGTTGAGGAAATTTTCTGGAAAAATTTAAATTATCAAGCATCCGCCCTAAGCTCTCAAACAGGCTTAAAAAGGGCTGGCCCAAGCTGGGGCCTGCCTGTGCTGCCCGTCAGCATCCTTGAGGAGGCTTTGGCCGAGGCCGGGTCATACCTGGCCTCGCGGCCGGCCCTGAAGCCGCAGGGCCGGGTCATACCCCTAGTTAGATGTCATTGTATGTACAACAACTTGTCCCTTGAATTTCCTCCACTGGGCTACACATCTTCCTGCAGTCATACATCACCACTCTTACTTGGAATTCTTCATCATTTTTGGACTGTTCTCATTCTCATTGGCCTCATCATAGTGTCCATTTCCTGAGTCACTCATTTCTACTGTAAGTCTGAATTTGTTCTTATCATTGATCTTGTTCATATTATTGATTGGAGTATGATTTCTTTTCCTCAATCGATCATCCAAATTCTTACAACTCCCTTTTTGCTTTTCATCATTCACACGTGACAGTGCCAGTGGGTCCCTCTTTCTTTCATTTCAATCCTTCATGATCTTCTCTACATTCACATCAATTTGATTCTTTTTACCACCACCTAGTCATATCTGTTGATTGTTCATCTCATACTTGTAATTTCCAATTGCTTACTTGACTAACAATCTTTTTTTACAGACAACATCCACAACTTCATTCATAACACTTCCCATCTTCAAGACCCTCAATTTCCTACTGATCACTTGGATCCTCATCACTATTTTGATTCTTCATTAATTATCTTACTTTGAATTGTTTCAATTGCTTATTAGATCATATCATATCTTTGTCTCTCTTTCAGATTCCTATATATTCAAAGTGTTTGAACAAGTTTTATGTTTGACATGATTTTCAAAAGCTGTTTTGAGAGGCCTCGAGAGGAACTTTGTTCATCAAGGAGTCATTGGTTGCCAAAGTTGTATTTGTATCAAACTGGATCTGAAATTAAATTTTGTTGTAAGGGTGGACTCACAAGGCCACAAGTGCTACATCTTCAATAAGGGGTTTCAAGTTCAAAATTTTACGGATTTTTACGTTTCGGAAACTTGCCTGATGTTGTTAATTATCCGTAAAATAATTTTAAATCGGAACACCTTTTTAGGTCTCCCGTTTTATAATTAGCGTAAACATACGCTTTATGAAAATTACCCGGTCAAGTTTTGACAAGTTTTGACATCATCCTTCAAGTTTGGAGGACCGATGATCTCTTCTTTCCCCGATCATCTTGCTTTACCTCTCTTTACCTCCCAATCCTTTATCCCACCACTCTATCATCTCGTTTTTCACTATATCAAATCAGTCCCACTCTTCTCAATTGGTTTCCCTAGGTTTCAACTCGCAATCAAACCTCAAAGTTCCAGCAAAATCAATTCAGTTTTTCCATGATCGATCGTCTCTTTCC